TCCACCCGTGCCCAAACGCGTTCAGCGCCCAGACGCACCCAGTGACCATCCACCCAGGTGAACCCGGCAGTGCCCTGACCGGCTCAGCTGCACTCGGTACGCACCCAGCCCGTGCCAGCGAGCCATCCCGCGCCCGCGTCGAACCGTTTCTCGTTCTTTTCGAACCGTTTGACTTATTTTTGACCCGTTGCCCCGTTTTTTGTGTTGAGTCCATTTTTAATATTTTTAAATGATTTTTCCGAGTCTAGACTTCAAATCCAAGTGTTAAATGATTTTTCCGAGTCTAGACTTCAAATCCAAGTGTTCCAAATTCCACAAAATTCCACGAACTACTTAGTCGATAATGTTCGACTCAGTGTTTTAAATACCGTACCGGTGAGCATACCGGACGAGCTAACGGTACGCGGTTCAACCGGTATTACCGTTTATTTTACCTGTTTCAATAGATATTAAATTAATTTACTATTATAATATAAATGATGTACAAAACTAACTTTAACTAATACTAAAATTAACTAACGTCTAATAACAATGTAAACATATTAAATTATGTGTAGAACTTTCAATTAATATAAATAAATTAATGAAAATATATTAAAAAATATTTTTTTAAAAAAAATTGGCATAAACCGATATTTTGACTGGTATTTTGGCCGGTATTTGCTGGTAAAACCGGTATTTTTCAGTATAAAACCGGTATTTTGGCCAAAACGGTATTTAGAGTGTAACCGTACCGGTCGGACCACCGGTATCCGGTATTACCGGTAATACCGACCGGTACAGTGCGGTATTTAAAACATTGGTTCGACTAAGTATGAATTCGCGTGATTAATTCTAAGTGTCAAGATAATGTATTTATAAAATTATCTTGATTAGTTGTAGGTGTCTGAAAAACCGAGCTCTCAACATACGCTGCAAACCGAGTTTTGCTTACTGTCTCATTGACCAGGTGGGTGTTATTAAATTTCTATGCCATACTTCTTAATAATTGCTACATGGTATGATCAATGTATGCGTGTGGACCATGTAACCTAATGTTGGATGCGGTATCGACCTCCGATATGGTATCTGCCATCGTCGTGTGCGCTTATCGACCTCAACGGTGCCTATTATGAGGCAGTCTCTTTTAAGATTTCGTTGTGTGTAGTTATCAGGACCAGCTCTTGGGCCAGTCATGCAAGGCACTTTCCTAGGGCCTTCATATTTTTGGGGCCTCATATATATATTTTTCCTTTTATACATTATAAATATGTGTTGGGCTTGTCCCAATCCATTTACATAATTTTAAAAGGTTGTACTCTCTACGAATTGCATATGACAAAATCAAACACCAAAATTCATCTTCTGCCTTGGTCGACGGCCAAACTTCGCACACCTTCGTCGTTCGCCCTCACCACAGTCGCGAGCCAGCCGCCTCACGCGTCATCGCCGCTGTTGAGCTTCTCAATCAACATATCGATAGGAACTTCTTCTTCTATTTTCTAAATGTTTTCCATGTCTGTGGAATTTGTTTCTCGATTATATACGAGTTTTTATTTTTGAAGCACCTTTGATACTTGTCTTAATATGGTTGAAGAATGAACATCAATTAGGATATATAGTATATTAATTTCTTTCGCTAATTTGACTGAGGTATTATGGGTTGGTCACGGATGGTGGATGTGGATTTGCATTTGCCGATTTGGTGTGAACTGTGAATGAGAAACCATGGTTGCAATTGCAAATTGCAATANNNNGGATTTTGCAAAAATTTATTGTTACTTTCTCACATATGTAGTGAAGGACCTGAATTGTCCAATTGATTGGCACAAGTTATAATCCTATTTTTTTTTGTTGTATTTGTATGTGTTTTATTAGATTTGTAGTTTCTTTTTCCTTTTATTAAATAAGAGGATGATCAAATTTGTTAGTATTGTAAATAAATTTATTTGTATTTGTCTAATATGTATTTTCTTTTTGCTAGAATTTGTATGTTCATTTTTTAATTAGTATTGTAAATAAATTTATTCATATAATATACTATTAGTTATGATCAGATTTGTAGACAAGTTATGGCTGGCAAACACAAATTCGAATCGGCAAGTTCGAAAAGAAAAAAAGAAAGAAAAGGAAGAGAAATTAACAAAATCTCTCGCTGGATCGATAGATGAGTACGTAAAACCTACAACTCCTACAGAAGAAGTGGAAGTGTTTGGTCCTACTGAAATTGTGCCGGAACTATGGGCCACTGTTGAAAAATTGCCTGGGGCCTCCAAATTTCTGGAGACGGCCCTGGCGGTTATCGACCTTCGGCATGTACTCCCATTGTTGTGTGCGGTTATCGACCTTCAGTGGCTTTTATAGGTGTGCACATGAGTATTATATGATGATTGAAAGATGTGATATTATGATTGATTCATGTTCATGCTGCGACCATACTATCTGTTATTATTTGATTTATGTGCATAGTATTATATTATATGATTATGTATGACTGTGAGGATATGGATATGATGATATTTATTTTGTGTGTATATTATGGATATTGGGAAGGAAGTTCCCATATGCTCAGATATGGCTTGAATTATATGATGATTGAATGATTTAATTGAGTAGCGCCCTCTATATAAGAAAAATGAATTTGAAAAACTAACTCTGATTTTTGAAAAACTTGGGATTTTTCTTATAAAAATAATGAGGCGTTACAGGTGGCATGCTCGCTGGCGCTGCATATGTGGGGAGTTGGGACGCGCGCGCACACACCTACTCGGAGACCAGCTGCAAGGTCGAGGTTTGGCCGCAGATGCTGGCTCGGGAAGTTCGTGCATTCGATGTTGCAGCTCTCGTGCGAGTCGACGGTCGGCCCCGCAGTTGGCCTCGCCTCAGCACGGGTGCACAGCCAACACTTCGCATGGCTACACCCGTCCAGGGCCGGGTTTCGACTCAAGGTTCCGATAAGAAAATTTTAACTCAAGGGTCACCACAAAATCCAAGGCAACCCAATCAAAGGTTTTTCATGGTTTTTCCAAACGTCTCCAATCAACATAATAACATCAACAATTCAAGACATAACAAGGCTAAGTCCAAGGAATAAAAAATTGAGTTCCAAGTCCACTAATTTTCCACAATCCAACACCATCTCAGTCATTCCTCGGCTATTCAGACTAACTCTTCTACAATTCCTTCCACAGTTTCAACACCTCTGGGACACATAGTGTAACGCCCCGATCAGCTAATATATTAGAATGGTTTCACTTGCTCGACTTTAAAGTGAAACCGGTAATTTTCAGATTTCCGAGTTGTTGGGCTAAGTGAATTATTATATGAATTATGTGGTTATATTGGTGTTTATATGTGAATTATGTGCTCATGTATGTTAGTTTATAAGTTCGATATTTCATTCGAGCCGAACCGTCGAAATCGCTTGCCGAACCTTAGTCGCGCATATGCCCGTGCCGATGTACTGAGCCACTAAGTGTTCGTGACCTCAAGCCCCGAGCATCCTAGCCTCGTGAGCCATGAGTTCGGCCATATCATCATAGGAATGGTGTGATGGCGTTTAACACCAAGTCCAAGCCAAGCATGGTACACGAGGGTCTCGTGCCGATCACCCGCGCGTGTCGCGTTCCGCGCCCGTGCCCCAGCCGCACCCGAGCCCGGAGCCCTTGGACCCTGAGATTATATCACCCTTAGCACACCTTAAATTATAATGTCTAAGTCTTGGGAATGGACTTCGAGCCACGCGAGTGCCGAGAACGCGAGGTCATAGGCGAGAGCGGCCCTAGCCGCGCGCCCTTCGTCCGTACCCGAGCCATGACCAAACCAAGTGTCTTGTAGCCATTTCATTTCCACACTTTGAGACCATGCATACATTTAAGGAGGCTAATCAACATTTTTAAGCCTAAGTTTGAGCTTAAGAGTGGATTATTCAAGTCAAAGTTCATTAGCAATTTTATATGCCTAATCTAGCATATACACACTTAATATTTTAATGTGTATCTGTAAGAGATGTTCCCCATACCTTGGACCAGTGAACATACCACCTTCTCCTGCCCAAGATTCTCTGCAAAGTCCACCCAAACCCATGCTAGACGTGCCCTAAGACAACACCCAAGTCCCCATGCGCATTGGAGGTGAAGGCCACTAACATTGTCTCCCCACTAACTCACATAAGTCCTAATGCCCTTAGACCATATATAGGGCCTTCCTTCAGCTACTTTTAGACCTAATTTGATGCTCCAAACTTAGAGAAATTCGAGCTCAAAGTCCTCTCCTTAACACCAAAGCCGAGAGCTATTTCACAATGTCGAGAGTGAAGTTTCTTTTTACCCGAGTGCCTTGTTTGGTTTTTGCTTGAGTTCTAGCTGAGCTTTCTTCACACCAACAGTAATATAATCATCCTCAATCATCCTCCTCTCATCCTAGAAGCATTTAGTGCCAGAAAATTCAAGGATTCAAGCCAAAGGAAGCAAGAAGCCGCAGCTATACGAGGACCGAGCGAGAATCGAGCATACCGAGTTCCTTTGCTATTTTCTTGAGGTTTTAGAGGTTTGTTTGCTAAATCTTTTTTAAGACTTGTTTTATATGAGATGAGGATTGGATTGATGTGCTTTAATGCCCCATAGGTTCATATTTTAAGTGTTCTCAAGCATGTAATGTGTTTAAGTGCTCATAGCTTACATGCATGATCTATATGTTGAGTTTATGTGAGTTTTTACCTATGCTATGCAAAACTTGATAATGTTATAATTATATGAATATTTCTTGTGTTAAAGAGGATTTCATAGGATCAAGAATCAAGTAATTTGCCCTAGTAGAACTCGAGTTATTGATTTTTAAAGATAGACATGCAAATTGAACTTTATATGCCCGTTTTCAGCTAAGAAATCAAACGCGAATAACTCGAGATATATGTATGATAAAATTATTAAATTTTTAGAAAATGTTTATATATTAGTTAAGAGCATGCAGGCTAAATTTCATAATTTTAACATGAGAAATGAGTGAGTTATATGTGATAGACCGCATGCATGTCATGTTGAACTTTGTTGCTAGAGAACTCCATCAATTCATGCGCGTTTAATGTGAAATTTTAAAGGGCATTGCTTGCATGAGTTTTGAGTAATTTCACCAAGTTTGAGCTTTAGATAGTGAGTTTACGATTTTATAAAATTCTTTGAATTCATGGGTGTAAAGTGCATTTTTATATGCTAAGTTTGAAATACTAGTTGACCATGCTATTGATGTTCAAATGAGATGAAATTTGTACAGCATGTACTTGGTTAAGTGAACTATTTTACTGCCAAGTTTGAGAATTTTTAGAGTTATATTCGATGTTATGAAAATGATGGGAGTTAAGTTGATCATATAGCTCTATAAAATGATTTAAATGAGAATGCATGGACTTAAGTGACCACCCCTCATCTAGCATAGTTTGAGTACGTTGAGTGGTCGGAAATAGTCGCCGGAGTCCAGTGAGTTTGGCCAGAAAATCCCTCTGTCCCAGCACCAGTGGCAGCGAGCCTAGGGGCACCAGCAACGCCCGAACGCACGCCCCAGCGCGCCCAGCGGCCAGTGCACGACCAGCGTGCCTTCCCGCGCCCGAGCCAAGCCGTAGCCACCGGTCGACCCCAGCCGGTTCGGTCAATGGATCGAGTCTGACCGGGCTTGGACCAGCCGGTTCGAGACAGTACAGAAAATACAGAAAAAGTAGGTTTCTGATCCAAAGTTAGAATTTTTCCAGGAAACCCTTAGACAGTCCAGTTGAGCCGAGAAAATCCATTCCAATTTTAAGTGTTCATATGCATCTATGTGCCTTATGTGTTTTTCATGCTATATCTGCTTTGCCTGCTTAACTGTCCAAGTTTCAGTATCAGATTTTATAAGACGAGAAAATTACTTAGATATATATTTTCTTGTATATTTTGGTAGCTTAAGGAGAGTCGAGCCTCCGACAGCTACCCCAGTATTCCAGCACTTGCACAGATTTTCAGCGTAACAGGTGGGGGTCAGGTACTGGGTTCCACATCATCTCTAATTACTTTACCATATCTGAGGTATGTACGAGAAAGTTATATCTCCCAGGTGAGAGGCCGAGGGCCTTACTATTCCACCTGGTACCCGGAGGAGGCCGAGGGCCTTAAGTTTTATCGGGTTGTGCACACGAGCGGCCGAGGGCCGAAGGGTCTTTTGGCCACAGATAAAGAAAAGTTTTAAGTTTCAGCTCTTATATATTTAAGCATGATATCGTTATTATTGATGTTGTCTAATTCAGTACTAGTCTGCGGAGCATAGCGGTTTGCTCACACCCCCATTGTTTTTTCCTCAGGTGATGGAGTCCAGTGTGCCGAGTGAGAGACGTGGCAACCGTGGTCATGAGAAGAGGACATTTTTACCCACATTTTATGTTCTAAATTCATGTACATGTATTATTATGTATGCGTGTATTATTTACACTTCTGTTTCAAGCTTTCGCTAAACTAGACCAGAATGAGACTATCAGATCTACATGTGTAATCCCATTATCTCCGCAGTGGATTGATTCAGTTGCATGTTTTATTATGTTTGAATGAGTAAGATAATAAAGTTTTAGTAGCATCCCGCAAGTAAGTAAGTATTTTCAAAACCAAGCGTGCATCCTTTCGAAAATAAAAAGAAAAATTTAACTCTGATTTTCACAAGTCAAAGCTAAATAAGGCGGGGTGTTACACATAGCCTCTACTCGAACATCAAAGCTCCGTCTGATGTCACTGCGGAACTTCTATCTTGCCAACTTGAGAATACTCTCGCCAGTGGCATAGGAAAAGATTATAAATTACTCGGTACAACCCTATTTCGCAGAGTGGTCCCACGACTAGTGATGCCAAACACCACTAACTACAGACAACTACTACACTATTTCGATCTCTAACCGAAAATCCTCCCTAATTGACAGCTCCTACTGAGCACTCAAACGGTTAGCTCATCTCGACCCCTCCCAACTACAAGTGTCGGCTGATACGTCAACTCTTCTAGTTAGCTAATCGTGCCAGCAGTCCTAAATGAGCTTAAACCACTTTCATTGCCTGAGGTTTCACACCTCGGGATCTTATCGCAAAGTCTCCTCGGTAGCGATTAATTATTCTTCGTAGTTTGGTTAAGTTCACGGTAGTTGATGCATAACCTTCTTCTTCATGGATCGATGCTTCTGGTGTCAAGTGGATTGCGAACTTGCCTTCCTCGTTTGGTGGTCTTCCTAGAAGCTCTTCCAGAGATACTCCTAAGTACTCGCAAATGATTAGTACGTCCTTCGTTGATGATTCCTCCTTCTCTTGCTTGATCGCGTTCTTCAAAAGTCCTTGACTACCATCCTTAAAAGATGCTTCATAATCCTTCTCTTAGATTACCCTTGGTGTAATCTTCGTTTCCGATTCGTAGAGAGAAACCTACTCAGCTCCCTTCATGAAAAGCGTCGTACCACGATAATATTGGATGTCTGCATGGACTCGGTTTGCGAAATTCTCCGGAGAATCACGTCAAAGTCCTTCTCCTCAATCAGTTATGCGTTGGCTTCCACATGCATGCTTTCAATGCAACAGTCGACTCGATCACCAAAGAATATGCGTCCATCGTCTTTCTCGGCTAAGCTATCCTCAGGAGTCACTACGGTATTTATGTTATTGAGTTTGCTACGACTTAGTGGCAATACATTTCCAATATTCACAAACATTGCAAACAAATGAGGTCAAGCATATCCGAAGATGCTTACTCTCATTCGTAAACAAAGTCTCACAACAGAGTTAATGTTAAAACATAAGATAAACACAAGTTGGGAAAAGTTTAGGAAAAATAAAAAGTAAAGAAAACAGAGAAACACTACTCGTCCTTCAAAGCACTCGATCAGCTGCTCCCTCCTGGTTTGGTTCGGCCTCATCCCGGGGCTAATATGAATTCACGTGATCTGCCTCTTTCAAAAAGACTCGCTTTGCACATCCTTCGGCGATGGCTGCTTTGTTTCGTTCCCGGCGATGATCTCCAAGGACTTTCGGCATTGACGTCGACTCTGCTCCGATGTTAACATTTGAATTTCGCGCAAGAGAATTTGATAACTATCGTTTTTCTCGAGGTTTAGACACCCTCGAGAGTCGCGACAGTATAACGTACTTGATCTTTAGCAACCTCATCGGTGTCGAACAACAACGTGTACAACGCACTTGTTTCCACCCTTGTACTCAATGGATGGATTCTATCACGACTCCGCTAGTCCTCTTGTCAACTGCTCCAGACTTCCGAATAATCCCGCACCCTTGGGACTTCTTCAGTTGTCTGCTCCTTTTTAGGGTATCCAGACATCGGTCACCAGAAATCCGTGGTGATTCCTTTTACTTAAACCTTCTCTTTCAATGAGATGGCTTGAGAATAGTATACGCTCGAAGACACTATACAAAAACTTACAGCGAGAAAACTTCTAGAGTCAGAACTTAACTCGATCACGACTAGAGTTCAAGTACTTAGATTCGGAGGGCAAATCCCTAAGCCCCAAATTACACGGTTAAACAATTAAATAACAACTAACTCATAACTTGAGCTGTTGCAGCTAGACGAAAGCGAGGGGTCATGAACATAAACACTTAAATAATTTCCAAAAGCAGTCTACAGAAACGTAGACCTGCTCTGATACCACACTGTAACGCCCCGTTATTTTTAAAAGAGAATTGCCGAATATTTTTCAAAAATCAGAGTTAAATTTTTGCAAACATTTTGAAAATTCATTCCACGGGCATTACTCAACTAATCTCAATGCAATAGCTTAAGTTCCAACTTAAGCAAATGGGAATAAACCATCCCAGATCCACATTTCAAGCCAAACAAGTAAAACAAGCTCAATTCATAAAATCCCAATATCATCAATTTCAAATCATAATTCATGATAGGCATAATAGTCCAGTTTCATGATCCAAAAACAACTACAAAGTAATACTTCAGTTTGGCATCAAAATAATAATAATAAAGCGGAAGCAGATAAACAATTTATAAGCACAAGCAAGTATGACCCCGATGGCCCGTCTTTCGCCGCTTCCACTAGCTCAACCTGAAAAGGGGAAAATAGTGGGAGTGAGCGACTAATTTGCTCACTATGGGAATACCATGTAGTCTATTCAGTATAATGACTTAAATCATAATCGCAGCATGAACACAGATCGTGTAGTCTACTTCCTATATAGCCCTACGCTCATGTGATCACATCTAAACCGTCGACACAACATCAATGAGAGCTAAACCGTCGGCAAAACATCAATGGGAGAACCTCTCTATAAACTAAAGTAGGAGAACGTGTAATGCCCCAAATCAGAAATAATACTAAGAACGGTTTCACTGCTCGACTATAAGTGAAATCCGTAATTTTTAAAAAATTTCCCGAGTTATATTTACTATGCTAAATGCTCAAATATGATAAATTATTAATTTGGGTTGCTACGTTATAGCTATTAGATTCAAGAAATTATTAATTTGGGTTGCTAAATTTCCCTAGTTTGGTTTCGATTATTTTTCAAGTTATTTTCCGAGCATAGCCAAGTCTTGGTATTTTTATACTTAGAATATTTTTCTAAGTGTATTAAAATACCAATGTTCAAGTCTTGATCATTTTAGAATCGAGCCCTAGTCGAGCCTCGTGCCCGAGCCTCGAGCCTGCGCTTTAGCCGCGCCCAAGCATGTGCCACCGAGCCCAAGACCCGAGCCAAGCCATGCCAAATACTTGGTTAAGTGTTTGGATCATCCTTGACATTTTTCTAAGTCTTTGGATCACAAAAAGATGCATTATACCCGGGCCAAGCTTCATGCACGCGCGCAGCCCGCACAGACCCCGCGCCAGTCCAGGGCCGCATGCAGCCAGCCCGTGCCAGCCCAGCGCCCAGGCCTAGTGCCGCGCCCAGGGCCAGCGCCCAGGCCCAGCGCGAGTCCGCGACAGCCCACCATTCCAAGCCCAATTTGTTTAGTTTCGGCCCAATTCCTTCATGACCCAAGAGCTGCGAATATTAAGGACTTAATAAGGATTAATTAAAGCTAAGATGGCCCTAAGAAATGTTTAAGGAAAGTCACAAGTAGTGGGCATTATTTTAATGTGAGTGCATGATGGACATGGTATTATTTTAATGTCTTGGGAAGTCCTTGTCCCCTCATGCATGACCAGACCTATTTCTTCAGTCAAGATAATTTGAAAACATCACAAAAATCGTGCTAAGTCCACCCAAGACCTTGGCCCCAACTTTCATGAGCATGGGATGGAGAAATTCCACTCATTTTGGTCCCCTTTGACCACTACCTAGCAGCCTCCGCCCCTTAGCCTATTTAAGACTCATTTCTCAGCCTCAATGAAGCTCTTAGACACCTAAACATTCGCTCATATTGAGAGGAACTAAGGAAAAACCAAGAAGACACCCCAACCCTTTACCGTGCGCACCTAGGCCCGAGAGGAGGAGACACTAAGGTCCAGCCATCTCCAAGCATATTCTCTCGTGGCTTATCACTATCCAAGTGTTCCTTCGATTTTTATAAGTCATTTGAGTCAATAAAGCTCGGCAAAATTCCATTCCAAGTCCACCCTAAGTCCCTAAGCCGCCTAGCCCATTCAAGCCCTAGGTTTCATTTTTTGCATTTTGGTGAAGGTTAGTCCGAGTCAACTTCTTCCCAAAATTATTTTATGATGTTTTAAGATTTTTAATGAAGAAAAACTGAGCCATGCATGTGTTTAAGGGCTAGTTCCGAATTTAATTAGTTAATGGCCTTAAAAATGAAATTTTAGTAGCAAGCATGTTAAAGTCGAGATTCTTAGTTAAATCAACCTTAAAAATCATGTCATTGATAGTGTAAAAAGTTGAACATGATTTGAGTTCGTTTGTTCGGTCATATTGCTCATGATTTTATGTTAAATTGGTCCTCCGAACCCTAGTTCCATGCATGCGAGTTATGACATAAGTGTTAACCATTATAGTCATCATTTGTGATGTAAGACATTCGGCGCTGAGTGAAATTTCATGTTGAGAATGTTGGTTCGAACGTCAAGTGCTCGTACGGGCCGTATAAGCCCTACCGAGTGAACATGCAAGTGGACCCGGGGTCCACTAGTGTTTTATGTGATATATGTGTTTATTTTATCATGCTAAGTTGTTATGTCATGCATGTCATCGAAAAAGTCGCCGGAGGACGGTAAGGGCTGGCCTTGGTCACTGTCCGCTCATGTAGCGCGGTAGTGCCTGGCCCCAGTGCCTGTCCGTGCCTGCAGAGGCCAACCTTAGCGAGTGCCCGCGCCCGGGCGGAGCGAGGCACAGCCCACGTGCACGCAACAGCACCCGCAGCGCCCAGTGCGTGCCCGTGTGCCCAGCATAGGCCCTAGTAGCCCCAGCATGCGTGGCCAGGGCACCCAGCGTGCACGGCCCACGCGCACAACGCCCGACAGCGCCGTGCCAAGCCCCAGCACATGAGGTCTCGTGCCAAGTCCAGTGCTGACCCGAGCCGGGTCAGCTGAGCCTAGTTGGCCTCGGTGGGTGCCCAGCAACACGCCCGAGTGCCCAGTGACCTCGGGGACACCCGGCAACGCCCGTGTGGCCTCTGTCCGCGTCTTCCCCGTGCCAGAAGTGTCTGGCCAGTGCCTGTCCGTGCCCAGCCGCACGACAGCGCCTCAGTCGAGCCTCGGCCATGCTCAGCGTGCACCCGAGGGGCACCAGTCGTGCCAGGGCCGTGCCAGCAGCCTCTGGCCATGCCCGTCCGCGCCAGTGCGTGCCTAGCCAGGTCCAGCGGCATCATGGACCGAGCCCGGTCGCACCAGCAGTGCCCAGCTCCGCGCCCGGGCACCAGCTGGCCCGGCACCAATTTCATCGGTTTGAATCGGTCAACACTTCCTCTTCGACTTGGAATCCACCGAGAAGGCGGGTTTTCTGAGTTTGAAGTCAGCTCCTCAGCTTTCTAGGTTGGGTTTGATTCATGTCCTGCCCGGCCCATATGTCCTGTTTAGTCAGTTGCGGTAAGTACCCCCATCTCCCGCTTCCCATTAGTCTTAAGGGCACTGGACAGAGCCTTGTGAATTGGGACACAGGGACCGAGCCCGGTCTAACCGAGCCCAGCCCGACCGCCCGGTTCAGTCGAGCTGGCTCTCCGGCCAGTCAGCGAACCAGTCGGTTCGACCGACGGTTCGAGTCAGTTTTGATTCGTGATTTCTGATTCGAGTCTCGTTCTGGAATTTTTAGTATTTTTCCGAGCCAGTCCAGTCTAGTTTAATCGCATAGATCAGTCCGAGCATTTTAGCATATAATTAATTATTCCGAGCATTATACTTAGCATTATTTTGCTTAAAAATTTATGTAGCCTAAGGAGAGTCGAGCCTCCGACCGCTACTCTAGTTCAGCACTTGCATCAGATTCCAAGTTTTCAGGTGGGGGTCATGTACTGGATGTCACATCATAGATAATATATGTACCATGGCAGAGGTATGTTTGAGATAGTTTAGTTCCGGGTTGGGGGCCGACCTAAGGGTTTAAATATCCCACCTGATGACCGTTGGGGGGCCGAGGCCTTTATACCCCATCGGTGTGTGCACACGAGCGGCCAAGGCCGAGGGTCTTTTGACCACAGATCAAAAAAGAAAGCAAAGAACAGTTTACAGTTTCAGCTCTTATATATTTATGTTCATGACATGTTATTATAGATGATGTTTTATTCAGTACTGGTCTTTGCGGAGCATAGTGGTTTGCTCACGCCCCCATTGTGTTTTTCAGGAGACGGAGTCGAGCGTGCCGGATGAGCAGCGTGGTCATGAGAGTCGGACATATTTTACGCACATTTTTATGTTCTAGCTATGATCATGTATATTTATTCAGTTATGTATGTATGTTATGTATTCGTATTTCGGATGCTTCCGCTAGCCAGTTTTCTAGACAGTGCGAGACAGTACAGACTATGCATGTTTAATTCCATTATCCGCAGCGGATAGTTTGGTTTCATGTTTTATATATGTCTGTGAGCTAGTTAAGTTAAGTTTTTATCTGTGACATCCCGCAATAAGTTAGTATTTTCAAAAACCAAGCTCGCACGTCCTTTCGAAAATAAAAACAAAAATTTTACTCTGATTTTTAAAGCTAGTAAGGCGGGGTGTGACAGAAGGTCACACAACATCAACGTGAGAACCTCTCATAGACTAACGGTTCACATGCATACAATGGTTATCAAGCCAAGCAATTATAAAGAATAACATACACGGTAAGATTTATCAACACCCACCTGATTAGTCGAAGTAGGCGAAGATATAAGATCAAGCGAAGGTAGGCAAAGGGCTCGACTCTTCGTTAATCTACAGATAATAATATCTATCTTATTATTAAATGTTCACAAATACCTTAATCCACTCGGGCTAAAATGACACATAAGTCATAAAATGATGAAACTTAGCAGTAATAGCCAACTGTGGATACTCAATCTGGCTCCGATTAAATAAATGATAAATTAAATAATAAAATACGACCCAATGACCAAGGAGTCAAAAATACATAATAAATGAATATACAAACAGGTTCTCGAGATGGATCACCTAAAAACCGACCAGGTTCCCAAATGTCGAGTCCCCTGCTACCGAGCCGAGAAGACAAACATCGGTCGGAACCGTCAAGGGTCACTAGTGGGTCCCGCAATGACTACCTCTCATTAAATGATAATGTACAACCTTTTATTTATTTTAATTGTCCACTTGCAAAAAAGGGATAGACTTGTATATATATATAAGAAGGAGGAGAGAGAAGGGGGTCTTCTTCCATTCTTCATTTTTCCCCTCCCACACAACACAAAAGAGAAAGAGTAGGGGTGGTTGGATGAGACTCTCTCCAAAAAATAAGAAATAAAAACATCCTTTTTAATAGTTTTGTTCTTGATTTTTCATAAAAGGAATTCGTATTATATTTTACGGTTGATCGTCCGATTTCCGACATCAACAGTTTGGCGCTAGAAGTAGGGCTCCGTAATTTGCTCGGAGTCAATTTTCGCCCGAAAACAGCTACATTCCAACCGGGTAATGTTTACTCAAAGCTTGGTATAAACACCCATGTTCTTATTCTAACCTTTCAGCATTTTTTATCCGATTCTTGAGATACAGAAGAAGTAAATCTCCAAAATATTCAAGAGTCCTCATCTTCTGTTTCTCTTTTCTCAGCATATTGACATCTAAAATACCTCCTTCAAATTTAATCTTGAAGCAAGAAAAACCCCATACAAAGTCCTTGATCATATGTTCTTCCTTTGATATTTGATTGAAAGAATTGAAAATGATATTCTTGCATTCCTGCTTCCGGTAAACACCCAATATCTTTTTTTATTTTCCTTTTCTTTTCTGCCTTTTCTTCTTTTTCTAGCTGAATAAAATATTAGAATGACACCACTTGGCCAAGTGGCCACAGTTAAGCCACATCCATGTTACTGTAACACTTACCACCATCACATCATGTCAAGTAAAGTAGATAATGATGATAAAAGAAAATAATAAATAAAAAAAAAGAAGAAAATACAGCATATCCCACGACGGATCACACAGCGGACTAGGGTCAACCACGCCTTATTAAACCATCGGGCCGATCTCGAAAGCAGACCTCGTCGCCCGAATCGAGCCTTTTCACCGCCGCTCATTTGCCGGCAAACTCTCGACCTCCACTGGCAACAGAGAGACAGATTATTTCAGGTCGGACTCGCGACCTCACCACCTCGGAGGATGACCTCAAAACTGGCGACCATGCCTTACCTATCAGCCGGTACCCGACCGCAGCCCATGGCCGACCTCAGAACAGAGCCGACCATGGCCGACCTGGCCATCTCCGACCTCATACCTGCTCGGGCCCCCAAGGTTACACCTGCCGGACTCCGAGCCGATGCACGCCGCAGTTTAAATATCAAATCGGCCCGACGCTGACCTCACCTATCCCAATATCACAACCGCCGAGCCGGGAAGGCGGATCCGACCTCGTCACTTCCGGTCGACTCCACACCACGGCCACTGATATCACCCGAAAGTCAGACAGGCATCGCAAACATCAAATGTCGGGCTGACGCCACTTCTCATCGCCGGGCTAACCTCAACCCCGGTGACAATCCACCCCGCCACACACCAAATCGTAAACCGGGTCAACAAATCGAAGGTGCCGACCTCAGTTTCCCTGACCTCGCAACCGTCGAACATAGCAAGCCGACTTCGCCGCCGGGGCCGACCTCGTGATCGACGAGCCGACCTTGCAAGTCGACCTCGTCGTTGGAGCCGACCTCGTGACCAACGGGCCGACCTCACGAGTCAACCTCGCCGCCACGACCAGCCATCCCAGCGGCAGCGTACTTGAACTCTCCGATGCCGACCTCGGAATTCAGGCTGCCACTGCACCAAAAACATCGAGTGTCGGGCTGACACAAACTCCACGACGTCGGGCTTACCTCACTGTCGGAAACAGACAACCTCAACCGATGACGAGCTGAGCACAACTCCCTAACCGGGTCTCCGACCTAACAATCGCCGAGTAGAGCCGTATGAGACGGCAGGCTCGGCCTCTCCACAGCCGGATCCGATCTCGTCCTCCTCGAACCCAGTCCTCGGGGAGCCGACCAACACATGGCCAACGGTCGACATCACGGTCACCGCCGACGATCTCCTCATCCCTGTCGTCCTCAACTTTCACTCGCAGCCGAGCCCCCAATCCGCAGCTGGGGCCCGATTTCAACTGCCATCGCCGAACTCACCCCCACGTCACTGGCGACCGAACTCGATCCCTCGACGACCGACGAGCTTCAGAGTCCGGGTCTTCGAAGGTTTCTACGCGACCCAACTTTCCCAAACCTCGTCGCGACGGGCCGACCCTACTTCCTTGTCTGCCGACGAACTACAAAATTGCAGTTCGGGTCCACACATCATGGCTTCCGGACAAAGAGCGTCGCAGCCGCCGGCCAACTTCGGCAATCGACACCCCAGTTCGAATCCACGCCACAGGTCCTCGGCCGACCTCGTCACTTCAAGCGGACTTCACACCTCGACCTGACGAGCCGTCGATTCCACGAACGCCGAGCACACTCAGATGCCGAGATCGCTGTAAATGCCGACCGATTTGAAAGAAATTTACCGAAGCAAATCGACAATTTGGGAGAAGAGCGGAATTGGGACCGGCGACTTAGGAGAATAGAAAAGAATTAAGTAAGTATTTGGGCCCATTAGTGGAATAAGTGTGAACTTATCAAGTTGTTTAGAGAATTAAAAGCTGTGGGCCTGATAGTAAATGCTTGTGCTTGTGAATTTATTTGTAAAAATGTTGTAATAGATAAAGTAAATGTAATAAATAGAATTAGGGCTGACAGCCTCCCCACCGACAAGCGATCAAAATCACAAAGTCGAGAAGCTCGGCGCGAACCTGAAGAATAAAGGCAAAAGAAGAACCGACTCCGCGCCGGCCCAAGGTAATCCTACTCTCAATTTCGTTTCAAATACATATACATATATATAGATATGTATATATATTGTGTATACATACACATACATAAATAATACCGTAATTAAAATAATAATAATAATAATAATAATAATAATAATAATAATAATAATAAATAGTGGATATGCATACGTATATGTACAAAGACTTGAATAAAAATATATGTCGAACCTCATTCGTGGAAGTTGAGTCGAGACGGGAAGGATTGGGGGAAGTAGGTCTGCTGCAAGCCTTCGGGATAGGCACGGCCGCTCCTCTAACACTTCTCAGTCTTAGAAGGTCACGAGGCCTTCGAGCCGTGACGACATTATTTCGCCCGCCGTTGAGCCCTTGCTCTGGCGAGGTTGATGTCATTATCCAGTCCGGCGACGAGCCCCTGCTCTGCCGGGCTGACGTCGTTACATCGCCCATCGTAGAGCCCTTGCTCCGGCCGATGTCATTATCCAGTCCGGCGACGAGCCCCTGCTCTGCCGGGCTGACATCGTTACATCGCCCGTCGTAGAGCCCCTGCTCCGGCCGATGTCGTTATCCAGTCCGGCGACGAGCCCCTGCTCTGCCGGGCTGACGTCGTTACATCGCCCGTCGTAGAGCCCTTGCTCCGGCCGATGTCATTATCCAGTCCGGCGACGAGCCCCTGCTCTGCCGGACTGACGTCGTTACATCGCCCGTCGTAGAGCCCTTGCTCCGGCCGATGTCATTATCCGGTCCGGCGACGAGCCCCTGCTCTGCCGGACTGACGTCGTTACATCGCCCGTCATAGAGCCCTTGCTCCGGCCCATGTCATTATCCAGTCCGGCGACGAGCCCCTGCTCTGCCGGGCTGACGTCGTTACATCGCCCGTCGTAGAGCCCTTACTCCGGCCGATGTCATTATCCAGTCTGGCGACGAGCCCCTGCTCTGCCGGGCTGACGTCGTTACATCGCCCGTCGTAGAGCCCTTGCTCCGGCCGATGTCATTATCCAGTCCGGCGACGAGCCCCTGCTCTGCCGGGCTGACGTCGTTACATCGCCCATCGTAGAGCCCTTGCTCCGGCCGATGTCATTATCCAGTCCGGCGACGAGCCCCTGCTCTGCCGGACTGACGTCGTTACATCGCCCGTCATAGAGCCCTTGCTCCGGCCGATGTCATTATCCAGTACGGCGACGATCCCCTGCTCTGCCGGGCTGACGTCGTTATATCGCCCGTCGTTGAGCCCTTGCTCCCGCCGATGTCATTATCCAGTCCGGCGACGAACCCCTACTCTGCCGGAATGACGTCGTTACTTCGCCCGCCGACGAACCCCTGCTCTACCGAGCCAACGTAATTATTACTCCCACTGCCGTCTTGCCTTCGCTTCGGCCAAATTAATATCTTTATCTCTCCCGCCGACGAGCCCTAGCTCCATCAGGCCTATCGACACTTTGTCGGCGCGACGAGTCCTTGAGAGCAAGCCTCTACTTCGCAGACGAGCACCATGAGCCGAGCTCAAGAAACGCCGCATATAATAGACGAGACGAGAGATTCGCCAAATCCCAAGTCAAACCCCTCTCATATCAAATCAACGAGGTTCTTTTACACGGGGCGTACCGACTTGAACATCTGAACGGCACGCGTCCATCAATACCCATAAAACTCGGTGTTTCTAAAAAAGTCCTACCAATAGGTCTAGGCTATTCTCACTCAGTAAGTGGCGTTATTGTATAGATCATTCGATGAGTTAAGTCAAGAATGTAATTTACCTTTTGCTTTTAGAGGCTAGGTCGTCTTAGGCTTAGATCGAGTCGAAGCGGCGTAATAAACGTAAGGAACGAAGTGTTGGCTAGGATCAGTACGATGACCTAGTCGGCACTAGCCGGGCTCAACTAGGAAGCCCGGTCAGGCCAATAATACCACCGAGTCCGAACGAGAGACCGGTTAGGTAAGCTGCCACGTAATTATGTGCAGGTCGGGTCAGTACGATGGCCTGGCCGGCACGAGCCGGGCTCAGCAAAATAGCCAGGTAAGGCCAAAGTCGCCAATGTAAGAAATGAATAACGAGCTCAAACGCGAAGCTCAGCAAGGCCAGACCGTCGTCCGATTCAATGAGCAAGTCGGACAGGTAACGAGCCAAAGTAATAAATAAACGCCGAGCCCGATCACGAGGCTCGACCAAGTAATAAATTCGTGCAGGTCGGGTTCAGTACGATGGCCCGGCCGGCACAACCCGGGCTTAGTCACGTAGCCTGGTCAGGCCACAGTCGCCAATGTAAAAAAGGTAATAAATAAATGTCGAGCTCGATCGTGAAACTCGGCCAGGCCAGACCACCACCCGACCCAACGAGCGGATCGGATGGGTAATGCGCCATCGTAATCATTAGTGCAATAAATTGCACAAGTCGGGCTAACCATAGGGGCCCGATTAGGCCGAAATGCCAAAAAACTAAAGGCCTACGGGCCATTAGGCCGAGACGCCGTAAAACTAAAGGCCTACGAGCCATTAGGCCGAAATGCCAAAAAACTAAAGGCCTACGATCCATTAGGCCGAAATGCCAAAAAACTAAAGGCCTACGGGCCATTAGGCCGGGACGCCGTAAAACTAAAGGCCTACGAGCCATTAGGCCGAAATGCCAAAAAACTAAAGGCCTACGGGCCATTAGGCCGAGACGCCGTAAAACTAAAGGCCTACGAGCCATAAGGCCGAAGTGCCCTGAAACTGAAAACCGAACTCTAAAAACAGTTCGGCCCAATTAGATATGCGACAAGGTGCGGTCATTTAGCATACATTCATCACATACATTCATCACACGACAAGGTGCGCTCATTTAGCATACATTCATCACATACATTCATCACATACATCCATCATACATTCACGCATTCCACATGTGATCGCATTATGCATACAGTCTCGCAAGAAACAAAGAGCTCAAAGCTCACTCAGACAAAGAGCTCTAAGCTCACTCATGTCGACAATTCAAAACGCATTCCTGCATAAAAATGGGTACCAAATTACCCGACCAGGCCACTCAGGCCTCATCTAATAGCAATTTAGAAAAATTGTCCATTCTCTCAAATTGGATCAACTCGTCAAAGATAAAAGCGTGATTATCGTAAAAAAGTCAGGCCAAAGCTTGAAATGATCGATAAAACGTGCAAGGGTCCCAAAGTGCCCGAAAACAACAAAACAACGATCCAAGTAACCAAAGTTACTCGACATAAAGTAAAAGCCGACAAGATAAATGTGATCTCTTGAATCACGCGAAAGTTATCTGACACGCGCACTCGTCGGCATGTTTGCGATTTCACCAATATCTCTCATTACACGTATATCCTTATACAATGTAAAGAGCTCGAAGCTCAAAAGATCATGAGGCGAAAACATTGCCAAATTGTAAAGAATAAACGCGACTTCAGAACAGTTCAATCCAGAACATGTCCTAAACTCGGGGGCCTCCTGTGGATACTCAATTTGGCTCCGATTAAATAAATGATAAATTAAATAATAAAATACGGCCCAATGACCAAGGAGTCAAAAATACATAATAAATGAATATACGAACAGGTTCTCGAGATGGATCACCTAAAAACCGACCAGGTTCCCAAATGTCGAGTCCCCTGCTACCGAGCCGAGAAGACAAACATCGGTCGGAACCGTCAAGGGTCACTAGTGGGTCCCGCAATGACTACCTCTCATTAAATGATAATGTACAACCTTTTATTTATTTTAATTGTCCACTTGCAAAAAAGGGGTAGACTTGTATATATATGTAAGAAGGAGGAGAGAGAAGGGGGTCTTCTTCCATTCTTCATTTTTCCCCTCCCACACAACACAAAAGAGAGAGAGTAGGGGTGGTTGGATGAGACTCTCTCCAAAAAATAAGAAATAAAAACATCCTTTTTAATAGTTTTGTTCTTGATTTTTCATAAAAGGAATTCGTATTATATTTTACGGTTGATCGTCCGATTTCCGACATCAACACCAACATAATCAAGAATTACCAGTTACAATTTCAGGTCAAAAGAATGTCATTAGTGTTAGTGTTATATACTGAAAGCTTGGCTTTGCATGTTATTACACATTTACCCTTTATGAATGAGAATCATGTTAGATTAAACAAATTCTACGTTCTGTTGTTCTGCACTTAGATAGGGTGGGTCGTCATCGGGCGAACCGAAGATCACTCTATCAGTCACTTGCGAACAAGAATAGTTGTTCACAACCTAGATGGACATGAACACTCCATCCGAAAGGTTGTAGTGTCAACTGTACAGTTTGTCTTGACTGATTAGTTGCACTAGTACATTTATGTATTGGACAGGATCCCAGAGAGGAGAAGTTCATTTTATACTGATCGTCGTAAATGAACTAGGCCTCGGTTAATTACTGCGTTCTCTTAACCCGTAAGATATTAAACAGACAGATATATATAATATATATTACTTTGATTCACATGGGTGAGGTTCAGTTCGCTGG